AGTGTGTATTGCGCAGCTCGTTAAGGCTAGAGTGCGTGATGTCACTCCTAGGGTGTTTCTCAATCGCGAGTAAAGCTGCTTCAGAGCCACTATTTCAAGCATACTACGTCATCGAGTGCCGCCGAAGTACTGTTCCAATCTCCAGCATACTTGGAAATCTACCGAGCCCAGCGTACTCCGTTTGGAGAAATATCGAGGCTGCACATGAGTAGACTCCGCGGTCTTAAAATCCCCACAATGCTTTGCGCACGGACCAATTTCCCCAAATCTGTGGCGGAAGATGTAAGGCGGGGCCTCTCATATGACGCACACCTGCACACTTGCTAGCGTGTTCCACACTTCGTTTTCCGAATGCCAGGAAGTATTCTTGACTCGCTTCTGAAGCAAGATGCTCGGCAGACATGTGCTACCAAGCAAGCGTACTCGCGATTGAGAAACACCCCTAGAGTGGAGGAGAGCTTGAAATTCGCCTTCATTTTTATTTTTAAACCTGCCATAATTCCCAAAGCCCTACACTCCTTGGACATCATTTTTCATGAAAAACTTAGGAAAACCTCTCCTACGTTGAAAAATAAAAAAAGAATTAAGCAAAAAAATTAAACAAAATGCCTCTTGAGGGCATGAAGTGACAAAAACGTTCAACATGTCTCCATTAAAGGTAGGGTAGGTAATTCACTTCAGAAACACTTTTTGTTATATTCCATGGAATGCTCTTAACATCCCGATAGCAATGAATACATTAAATGCTTTGACAATAAATACATAAAAAAATGTCATCTGTGGAAGCCGTAATACTGTAAAAAGCACGACCAATTATTTTAGCCGGCCCGGCTAAAATAACTGGATGGCCTACCTGCCTGTCAGCCTTCCATCTCGTGCACAAACTTATCTCGTGCCCTCATTGGTCATGTGCGCGTTTGTGTGTGTTGGAGGAGGGGCTCTGTAAGGAAGTCTGAAGGAAGGGGCAGATTTTCTTCAGCTGCGTACTTTCAAATTCTAGCGCATTTGAGCTGGTTTCTCCATTCTTACTTACCTTTAAGGCCCATTGTAAATTCAGCCTGATCTTTCGTCAGAGCAGCAGCTGCACAACTTTAGTAAATCTGCCAAAAATGCCACATTTTTTAACCGAAAGTACACAAACAGCAGACTCAGACGCTCGTCAGGGTCCTGACATGCTGCAGGCGTTGACATTTTACCGATATCAGCTACCGTTTTTAAACTATAGTTAGAAATGTAAGAGGTTTATCTCTCATTCAGATCAATGGAAAGGCTCTCCTTTCACTGCACATCTCCATGGTAACCTTTGATATCTGCACACAGGTGTTTGATAACCTCGTCACCATGGTAACCTTTGATCTCTGGGCTTACACACACAGGTGTTTGATAACGTCGTCACCTCAAACACAAACACACAGACTGTCTCAGCCTAATATTTTCTGTCTGATGGAGACTTCATACTGACTTCAACATGTTCCACATATTTTATACATTATTGGTGACGTTTGGTTTTTAGTTCAAACATTTGCAGTTAACATTCTGCTGCTTTTCAAAGCGTTTTTTACTTTCTTTTCTCTTCTTAATACACATTCATTCACTACTACTTACATTTAATATCTAACTCCGTCAGCCTACTTTCAGCTACAGAAACCATTCAACTATTACATTATTCAGCTATTTCAGGACATTGAGGCTATACATGTGTTGTTTATACCTTTTTTAAACCTTTTCTTTAAAATATTAAGCTTCTTCACTATTTTTCCTACTCTTCCAGTTTAACATTTCACCTTCAAGTTTTCAACAAAGTCATTGCAATGCATTTGAGCTGTAACAATTTTGATTTAAATCATTTAACTTTTCTGCATTTCTCCGCTAAGTTCAGCAACACACTTACTTGGTTTTTGTAGCTAAAAGCAGCTACAGAGACCATTCAGCTAATAACATATTCAGCTTTTTCTGCATTTTCAGCTAAATTCAGCAACAAATGCACACAGTTTACAGCATTCGCATGCATTTTCAGCAGGAAATGCATTTTCTAGTTTCCATCTGCACTCCTTAGGCAAACATTGCATAATCTCTATCAGTCAATCCTATTCTTTCCTTTAACATTTTACCACTTGTAGTAAATTTGATTTATTAATACTATTCACTTTTGTCACTTGGAGATTTCATAGTTTTTGTTTTGCTGTTTAAGTACTTAACTGCTGTGGTAATAGCCACTGTCTGACGCACAGCTTGTGAATCGTGAAGCGTTTACATTTTTAGGTGAATGACGACTGAATGGATGCTAATGTTGCTCTGTGTCTGCTGAATGCGTAATCAGGCAACTGATACAACATGTCAGCTTTATACTGTGATCTACAGGTAGCTCTTGTATTGCAAGTAGCTAGACAAATTGCCTAGGGTTGTTAAATGTCCCTCATTAATGAACTTATTTTCAGATATAGCTCCTCCTCTCCTTTGAGATATATCAGGGCCGTAATGAGAATGATTTTCAAAGGACAAACTCTTTTGTGCAAGTGTTTTCCAGTCCCTAGGAGAATATCTAATTGCTTAAGGTGCTCTTTTAGTTTCTTTTTTTTGTTGCAAATTCTGTTCCTTTGGGTGCAGAGCTTTTTACCTCGAGTTATATTATCGTGATAAAACATCTTGAACTCAAGCTGATTAGAAGATTCTAATTGCATTCCTCCCTGAGAGCAATAATAAAACTGCTGCTAATGGTAAACACTGCTCCCCTGGGCACCTTGTTCAGAGGACAATGGATGTATTGCACTTCTCAAGGCTTTATATGAATTAGATAATAAGATGTGTATGATTGCTGACTTGGCTGGATGTTTTGTTTTTGGATCGTTATTGCTCAAAGGTTGTATTAACATATATTTAAATCTTTGGACTGATTGACCTGAGAATAGGGAATGTTTTGAATAATAATGCTAAATTAAGCCACTTTTAAACATTGTGTTGGCATTGGTAGAGTTTCCTTCATTGTTGGCTGTGCAGTCGGCCAAAATGTTAGCAGGCTTTGCCAACATCAGTTTGGACCATCAATGGACCCTCTAATGAACACATCAGCAACATTTTTTAAAGCACAAAATGTAGCCTAAAAAATGTTGTGTTTGTCTTGTTATAACATTGGAAAAGTCCAGAAAAGGAATTATTCAAATTCCCAAGGGTTATGGAAGCCTTTTTTGAGGGTTACGACATTTTTCTTAAAGCCAAAAATACATGCGTTGAGAATTTGAAAGTACAGAAGAAAGGTCCTTCAGAGGAAATACGTTTTTATCTTTGAGTGATGGGGGCTGGCTAAGGTTTTTTTATTCAAACCATATTCAGCACTGCTGTATGATAAACACTGTTTACACATTGTCTCACTCACACCTCAAATAGTCGAGTGAATGGCAGTTCTCATTTGCTTCAGATCAAATGTTTCATTTCTCGTGTCTTTATGAGTATGACAGTTTTTAGTTGTAGTTTGTGATCTTTGAGCTAGCATACCTCTCCTTATTGCACTGACATTTGTCACATGTGGAGCTCTGCCTTCTTCTCCTTTTCCCTTGAGGGGAATAAACCTTTCAGCACATGTTTGTTCTTTTCAGACACTTTGTAGTACACCTGTTGGCGTTTTTTTTTTAGTTATTGCTGCTGCACCTTATTTGACATTTACTGTTGTCAACAGCATTGAGACACATTGACACAGAACACACTGACATTCTATTTTGTGCCACTCACTTTTTGATGCTGCACAACAACCAAGGATATTGTGTTTTGAATCACTCTAATCATAAAAGCTGGTAACTGAGCAGCATTTTAAATAAAAAGCCGCACTGATATTGTTCTCTTTTGTTATGACCATTACACATTTAAGCCGATGGCATAGTAGCAGATAATGGAAAGGTTGCGAGATTAATTAAACATAATAAGTTATTAAAAAGGAGAGTCACATTCAAGGGGGATGACACTAATGACGTAGCAACTGATCCCTGGAAGGCTGTGCTTTTACACCAGTGTTTCATCACCACAGGACATCAGAATATTGAACTGAAAGGAAATTCAGTTGCATTTGCCCATTTTGTTGGATTTGTTTGGGCTCTTGGGAAAGGTTATAATCGAAATTCAGTGCAAACCAAGCTACTGGACCAATGCAGCTCCAAAAGGAGAGTCTGTTTTTTATAGACTCTGTTTGACCCTGTGATTAGCAGCCAACTAGTGGGCTCCAAGTTATAGAGCAATATTGTAGGAAAAGCAAAAGACAAGGGGATGTATGGCATGCCACTCAATCAACACCTAAAGTGCCATTTCCTGCAGTATAGAGACGTTACTCATACCCACCCTTATAAAGCTTAATACTTCAAAACATACAGTATAATAGTGTTTCCCACAGGATTTAGTTGGAACATCTAGGTTGGTACGGGGGCAAACACTATTTGAAAAAAATGTGTGTACATTTTGAGGTTAATACTTAAATCGAGAGAACAAAATTAAAATGCCAAATGCATGAACAATGTTGCACTCTGGTAAACAAGTTTATATTACTGCATATGAAATGGCAAGTTATAATATTTTTGACCAAAACCAACTCAAATGTTTAAAAAAATGGCTTGACGTTAAAAAAGTGGGAATGCATTGAACACCTGTTTGCCCTCCCAAGTCTCATACTAGAGGTGCAACTGCTACATTGCTCAGGATGTCCACGACCACTTCGTGTTATCGCCTGTCGCCTGGCAGTTTAATAATGCGAATAATTAGTTGTCTCTTCTGACACCAGAGTGACCCGTTTTTTGGTGCGCGCTACAGCCCGATCCATAGTTTTCACACCAGCCCAAACACAGCGTGCTACACTTGTGGACAAACCAGTGTTTTTATAGCTGCGTGTGTGTGATGATGATGATGATACGAGGTAGCCCGCCTTGCTTTGGACAAGGACGAGAGCATCATCTTCAGATAAATATGCTGTTTACGGTCTCCTGCTGGTGTAAACTCATTTCTCTCTGTTTTTCTTCCAGTCTCTGTCAGCAGCATGGGCCAGCATCTAGGAAAGAGAGAGGCTCCCACCGACAGCAAGGTAAGAGTCTTGTTTCGTGCCTGTGGAATAACAATATCTTGAAAATGTATTCAGGCTTTTTTGCCAAATGTGATCAAAGCAATGAAGCATGTGTTGGATTATTTTCTCCAACGGCACCTGTGTGAACACTGGCCTTTATCAGCAGGACTTTGGACTCTGTTAAGTCATTCTGATTTATCCCCTTCAGCTTTGCAGTGCACAAGTCTATCTGTTATTCCTCAGGATGTGGATTTATCTCTATGATTGATGCATAGAATGTGTTTTTATCTTTATAAGTGATTTGTGAGCTGCCTAGTTTTTCTATAATGGCACTGCCACAGCCAACCCCTCATAATCATATCTCAAATGTAGTGAGACGCAGTGATATGAATAATGCACCATCTCGTTGCTTCATATGCAGATTTTTGTTGCAAAGAGTAGTGGAGAGATGAGGTGGAGATGACTTTGCACATTTTGAGTTGATGTTCATTTATATCCTTTAATAACCTATGCAGTACTTTGACTTTAAAGCAGTGGTTCTCAAATGGTGGGTCGCGACCCAAAAGTTGAAAACTTCTGTCACGATCATCTTCTCAATAAAATATCTTTGCTGATGTTTTTTTCGAGTCTTCTGGCCAATCAGAATCAAGACTGTTGCCAGTAGTCCCCACGGAGAATAACTTTGCGGTAGAACTCTTCTTTATACATCCATGGGTACAACTTCAGATAAAAATGAACTCATAATTAAATATGACCCCCGGTTTGATGATTGACAGGTCACAGAACAATGGGAGCTATCTACCCTACCCACAATTTAAAGTAATTCACACAGACTATCTCCTCTTTACTCTTCTCGCTGCAAGATGTCAGAACAAAGTGAAAAACAAACAATGGCATAAAATATTATTAATATGTCGGGTAGTAATAGATTTATTTATTTTTTTCTCAGAGTGTACCAGAATGCGTAGTTTGTTAGTATTTCTAAAAATCTCCTGGGGGACAATCCCCCCAGACCCCCCTGCTGGGGTTGGGTTTTCAGCATGTGTGCCTTTTTATATAGTTCAGCTTTGATTCCATCATCTCATTAAACCTTGTTTAAAAGCATACTTTAGTTCTGTGAAGGGATATAAGGGATATATGCACTGTACTTCACTTTTATTAATATTGTATGCTCAAAAGCGTATATATTACAGCACGATTTTTTGTTGAATAGATTTGAGTGCTTCAAAATGTTGGGTCGCGAAATATTAAACTTAGTTTTCTTTTCTAAAAATTTAAATTTTTCATCCTCATGTAGAATGCTATTATGAAACACACATTTGGTTGTTTATAGCATAAAGAACATCTGATTTAATGTGAGGTAGGGAAATAATCATTTGAGTATAAGTATGTTTATATAAATATGTAATTTACAACAGCTGTAAGATGCTTGAAAAGCTTGAAAATGCACCTTGAAAATGCTTGAAAAGTGCTTGAATTTGACTTTGGAAAAGGTGTAAGAACCCTGAATATTGTATGCTCAAAAGCGTATATATTACAGCACAATTTTTTGTTGAATAGATTTGAGTGCTTCAAAATGTTGGGTCGCGATGTATTGACCAAGTAAAAAGTGGGTCCCGAGGCCTGACCAACCACTGCTTTAAAGGATAGTTCGGATGTTTGGAGGTGGGGTTGTAGGTTCACTGTAAAAAATGTCTCACTGGTTTATGGAAACAGCTGTGGTTGCCATAACAATTCTGTAAAAAATACAATACAAATGTAAATTAATTTACAGGACAACATGTACATGTTACAAGTGTATGCTTCATTAAACATAATTTCATTGCTTTACCTTTTCTTGATCCATCTATAAGTTGGATTTTTCTAACAGGAAACTCTTTTTGCTCTCTTCAAACACAACAGACTTCATTGACAAAATCACACATTTTACCTTATTTTTACCAAAATACAAATGGACTGTTTAATGGACTGTATTTATTTAGCGCTTCATCCAGTCTTTATGACGCTTCAGTTTACATTTAAAAGTCATCATTCACACCTCATTCATACAGAGTATTGTGCCCCTTGCTCAAAGAACAGCTAACATGCACACACATTCAACTTGGGGTTAAGTATCTTACCCACGGATGCATCGACATGTTGACTGCATCGAACCCTCAACTTTCAATTGAAAGAAAACCAAACTAACTCACAGCCGCAATCGCGCCAATACAAGGTGCTCGTCTGCTTAAATCTTTAGATCCTTTGTGATATGTGTCTTTGGTAAATCCAAACTAACCTTATTTTTGAATACTCAGCCTTTTCAAAATACTTCTGCGTAGATGGGATTGCTGGGAAACTCTTTCAGAGGTATTCTTTTGCACACTGCTTTCTAGACAGTCATGTATTCTGTGTCCCACTCTTAATAGAGCCTTATTGCCATGGCCATATCCAAAGCATGATGGCTCTTGTATTGCCCTATAATAACCCCCTGGAAACCATGAGCCCTCATTTTAACAACGATGCGAAAGAGAACCTGTTTGAACCGGAGAAAGTAAATAGATGATTGTGGCCATCAAGGCTGACACTAAAACCTCTCCAGGTACACATCTCATTTAACCATTAGCTTTGGCTCGGTGATCATCGGGACTCTGTTTGGCAACGTTCACAAAGTTCAGCTGTCTGACATTGATAATTGACCATCCATATAGCAGCACCCTATCATTATCCCCACAGCATCAACAATGTCACCCTCAGAGTCCATTTAGAAATAACTGGATTTTCTATTCAAGCAGAACTGATAGGTGTGAAATGTTGTACGACTCCGTTCTGTCAACAAGTTGGCAGGAGTGATAATTATAATTGTAAAACATCTGCATGGATCAGTGGGTTAGGTCGACATAATAGTTCTTTTAAATCAGCGCTATAGTATAATCGCAAAATATGAAAGAAGCTTGAATGTTCTAGCAACTAATTAAGTGCAATTTTAGCCTTTTTCTTTTCTAACAAAGTTGTTGAGCACCTCCCAATGATTATTTCTAATTGGTGGCGCTATGCTGGGTTACCACATGATGAAAAATGTCCACCTCTAATAGGCTGTAATTAAATATAGCATATATGTTTGACAGATTTTCTATTTTTGGTCTCGTCTTTTTACTCTTTTCAGTACTGTGAGTGCAGAAATTACCGGCCAGATGCTGTTCTCATACAGTATGCCAAGTGTGGAAGAGGATCAGCATTAAACTGGGACAGTAATGTAATTTAATGAATACAAGTTATTAACCTTGGCTTTTGCTTAAGTCCCTTTTTGTCACAGCTTTTTTTAAATGACATCACATGTAATGACTTTGGGGCTGGGATGAGATTTGAAGAGGTTGCGTGGGCCCGACGTAAGTAAGTAGGTGTTGAAAGATTAGTAGCATTTGGTTTCCATGGGCAGCAGTGTAAAGACCTGAGGTCTGCCATTGTTTTTGGCTTACCGCCTAATACCTGGCTGGTGCCTGTAATGGGCGGAGTGAGACCGAACCAGCAGGGAAGGCCAATGTCTCAACCCACAGATGATTTGTTTCCTTAGCTGCTAAGCACACTCTAGAGAGAGAAGAAGCAGGAGCAAGAGAGGGGGATTACATTTGCAAGTGAAGCTGTCAAAGAGAGGTGTTAGGGCAGCATGTTGCACCAAAGCCATTACTCCATTGTTGTTGTTTTTTGGGTTGTATGTCTTCGAACACCGCAGGCGCTATATTGTGCATTAATCCTAAATCCATTTAATTTTTCGAACTGTTGTCCATGTCATGAACTCTTTCAAAACAGATCTATTACGCAATGAGAAAACAATGTGATTCTGTCGTAACAATGTGAGCTTTTGCGCTGCAAAAACAAAAGCATCAACCAATCAAGTTGTGCAAAAAGGATATTTCAAAATGTAAATTATGAAGATTATGACAACAACATTAAAGAGGACATATTATGCTCATTTTCAGGACCATAATTGTAATCTGTACTTCCACTGTGACATGTTAACATGCTCTAATGTTCAAAAGGTGCTTTATTTTTCACATACTGCCTGTGCTGCAGCATCTCTTTTCACCCTCTGTGATTGGCCAACCGCTAAGAGATGTCCTGCCCCTTAGGCAATCACATGCAATTGGTTGAAGCACTAGCCAATAGAAGCTTGAATGTTACATAGCGATGTCACTATGTTGCACAAGTAAACAAAGGAGTCCAGTAGAGGTGTTTCAGACAGGGGGGGTGTGGGAGACTATCTACATGCACAAAACCTATAACACACTACAGGAAAGGGAAAACCTCAAAAAGCATGATAGGGCCCCTTTAAAGAGGAACCGTTGTCTAAAAAAAGGCAGCAAACTTTATTACACCTCTAAATCATTCAGATCTATTCCTTCCTTACTTTCTTTCACAATAAAAGCATCAAAGAATCTCAAAGTTCGTAAAAGACACATGAAAAACAAACACTATGAGGATAATAACATTAAAATAGTAGTCTCCGTAGTCGGGACAAATAACAATAAATCCCCTTTTTTATTTTCCTTTCACAATAAGAGCCTTAGACACGTCCCTGGTGTGTTGTGGCCTTTTTGTATATCTGTCTATCTCCATAAATTGTTTGCCTCCCTTGCTTAAGGCACGATAATCATGACATCAAAGTCAATTTCTGACAAAAGAGCCAGTTGTCATAGCGACATTTAAGCAGGCACAGAGTGTAACAGAGTAACGCTGGTTGTGTTAAGATGCTGTTGTCTGGCAGTTGGGAACAGCACTAGTTAAAGCAATAGCAATGGTGTAGCAAGAGCCAGAAAGAGTAACTTTTTCTTTTTAAAAGCTTAGTAAAATCCACAACCTGCATTGCATTCGGGTGTTTTCAGGTTATTGACAGTTGAGAAACTTTGATCCATGTGTTTGGTGTGATAGATTTCACTTTGATTATTCAGTATCACTAGAAAATATTATGGCGGGAAATGTGCATCTACAAATATGAGGTCTTGACACCATCTGGTGATGTTCACTGTGGATGTCTGGGATAT